CTCAAAAAGCTAACAGGCAGAAACAGGACTCAGATCTTGGTCATCTACATTTAATGTTTGGTCTTAAGTCTTATAAACACATATCATTTAATTAAAAAAAAAAAAAAGGATACTCACCTGACCTTTTAAGATGTTTAACGATTCGTCTTCCTCCTCGGGGATGCTTTTCCTGAAGGATGCTGGCCTGGGGGAAACAGAACCAGAAGGGTAACACCTGCCATATCTAATAAAACCAAAGAGAAATACAAGGCCCCGAGATGGAGTTTCTGGGAGATTCCTGAAGAGCAAGCTGAGATGACTGAGAGGATGAAGCGTGGAGCTGCCCCTCCCCCTGTCTCCCACATCAGGCACGTGTTCCTCTATAGGAGGAATTCTACTCCTGAGGCCACTGTCTCCTGTCACTCAGGCGGCCTGAGTGGAGAGCACTTCTGGCTCTGAAAGTGTCACCTCATGGCTGTTTCTGCCTTGTTGTTGGTGAATTTCCCGGCGGGGCTCAGGGGCTCATGTCCCTCCGTGGCCCTTGTTACTTGGTTAAGAGGTGAAGGCAGGGGAAGCAGTAGAGGCGCTGGAGCCACAGGTTGCGCTGTCACACACACCTGCATCACCCAAAAGGCCCGATCACCTATCCCAGCACAGAGAGCTGGAGCCACAGGTTGCGCTGTTGGAGCCACAGGTTGCGCTGTTGGAGCCACAGGTTGTGCGGTCACACACACCTGCGTCACCCAGAAGGCACGATCACCTATCCCAGCACAAGCCTGCACGGACGGCACAGCCTTACCACAGCACACGCTGTCCTGAGACACATCTGCGCCCCTCATACCCACTAACGCCCAGCACAGCCACGCTGTGGGCCCCGCCACCCCACACAGTGCAAAGGTGCATCGTGGGCCACGGAGACCCGTCCTGACCGCCGCCCCACACAACCCCCAGAGTGCACCTCACAGAGCAGAGTCTCCGGGACGCACCGCCGAGGTTCACAGGTGTGGGCTCCGACGACCCAAAGCCTCTGGAGCACCCCCGGTCACCAGTTATGGGGCGAGCCCGGCTGTGTCACCCCACACTCTCCAGCAAGTGCGTCACCGCCAGAAGCTCAGTGCCCGTCTCCCCTGGGAGCCATGGGCGCCAATCTCACCTGCGCGGACTGGCGGAGACACAGCGGTTGCGTCACCAGTGCAGAAGCGCACCCAGCACGCCCCCCATCGCCCCCAATGACGCTCGCGTGCACCCGTGTCACAGTTACGGGGACAGGGCCGCCGCGTCAGCCTCCTACTCCCACGCAAGTGCGTCATACACTCGGTCCCGCCACCCATGGAGGCCAGCGCGCATGCGCACCCCGGACCCGGGAGAGGCCTCGAGCACCTAGCTGTGAGCGCGCGCAAGCAGCAGCAGAGCCCGACACGCATGTGCGTGCACACAGATCCCGACACACATGTACACCCAGACCCCGATACGCATGTGTGCGTGCACACAGACCCCCAACGCATGTGTGTGGCCAGATCTTGGACACGCATGTGCAACCAGACCCCGACACACATGTGCGCGTGCACAGACGCTGACACATGAACACACTGACACGCGTGCGCGCACTCTTCCCACTCCTTCCTTCCTTGGCCTCTCCCGAAGCCGCGGGCGCACTCGGCGGTCCCCCTACCCCAGTGCTTGGCATGTACCCCTGGGTTCCTCCCAGGAAGCGAATGCCCTACTCAGGCCCAAACACACAGAGGCTTCAGGAAGGGATGAGAGGCTTGAGGAGTACGCCGGACCATGTCTGGGGAAACCAGAGCCCCAAGCCCCGTGTCCCAGCATGCAGCGCCTTAAGTTCTGGGGGCCTCTGGGAAACGTAGTCCGGGACGGTCCCAGGCAAGGGCCTCAGGGCGCGTTCCAGGCAGGCAGCCCCACACTGAGTCCATCTTGCTCCCTGCAGACGCCCCTTCCCGACTGGGAGACGGGCTGTGTCACCCTCGCTGGGACCCCGTCTGGCCTCTGAGTGGGGTGATGCCGGGCGAGCCATGGCTGTCCTCAGAAGGATATCCTCTCCTAGGCCCTCTGAAGCGTCACCTGGAATTCTCTGCAGGCCACCGGCCAGCACAGGCTGCCCGAGCTGCTTTTCAGTGTCCCTTGCTTGCTGGATTGTAAACAATGGGCAGGCCGCAGCTATGCCCTGTTAGTCACGCTCTCATTCCAAGTACTAATGTCACAGGGTCTACAGGATGTTACAGGTACTTAACCACAGCCTCATTTTGACTCAAAATCCCACTTTTTAGAATTTATCCCAAGGAAACAGCTATAGTAGTACACACATGTATGCCCAATATGTTTGGAGATTATCTTGGGTGTTGGAAGTTTTTCTTTGAAATTGATACAACTGTAGAGTCTTAGGTAGTTGTTCATATAATACTGAGAAAGCCTATGTAACTTTCACTTGGTTACCCCCATTTGGTGATCGCAGTATACAGTATAACATCACTGCCAGGACATTCACACCATCCATAGATGTTATGCAAATTTCAAGACGGTAATTTTTTTTTTTTTTTGAGACGGAGTTTCGCTCTTGTTGCCCAGGCCAGGATTACAGGCATGAGTCACTGCACCCAGCCAAGACAGTAATTTTTAAAAATGAAAATCTTGCAGAAGATAGAGGAAAATATCACAGTAGAGTACAGAATGAATTAGTCTGCTATATAATGGCATAAAATACATTTACTAATAGTGATACTGATTCATGTTAATTGAAAGAATGTATCATTAATTACTGAGAGGAAGGTAGGTTTGAAAGGGTATGTATAATTTGGGAGGAGATATTTTGGTGAAACTAAGAACACAGGCTCTATAGTATAACTTTCAGAATGTGAATCTGACCCCTAACACTTATTAACTGCTGGTTTCCTCACTAATGAAATTGGGATAATAATACTGTAAGGTATGACTGTCTCAACTATTAATTATCAGAATATCTAATACATACAGTAATATGTAAAGATTTTTTAAGTTTGCGGTTACTATTGAAGATCAGTAACATTACACTGATCCTGAATCCAGTTTTAAAAAAGAAATTCATCTGCAGTTTTTATTTTAATTTTTTTGAAACAGGGTCTCGCTTTGTCACCCAGGCTGGAGAGCAGTGGCACGATCTCAAACACTGATCCTAGGCTCCTAGGCTCCAACCTCTGCCTCCTAGGCTCAAGTCATCCTCTCACCTTAGCCTCCCAAGAGCTGGGACGACAGGTGCACACCACCACCTCTGGCTAGTTTTTGTAATTTTTTTCTTTTTTTTTTTTTTTGTAGAGACGGGGTCTCACTATGCTGCCCAGGCTGGCCTTGAACTCCTGAGCTCAAGCAATCTGCCTCCTTGGCCTCCCAAAGTGCTGGGATTACAAACAAGGGCCACTGCACCTGGCCTGCTGTTTCTTCCTTACACTAAAACATGTACTTGCCAAACCAGCTGTCAGTATAGTGAATGCTAACCAAAAAGAACTTTCAGAGCCTGATGTTAAGAACGAAATTTGTCTTGTTTAAGCACATTAGGTGAAAAGATTCTAGGACACATAAGGAGGAAATGTTCCCTCTGACAAGCAAGCAGGGGAAAAGAGAGATGATTCTGCATCAAAAATTGTGCTCAAATAATATGATCTTAGAAGATGCCAAACTGGGAACATTAGCAAGAGGATGAATCATGTGTTCTATGTGTTACAGGACATTCACGCAAACCATTTTAATTGCCATTGTACTCAGTTTCACTTATCTTGGATTTGTTATTTGTCTAGTGGGTATTTTTTACTTGTACATATAATCATGGAAACGTTACTTGTACAAGCATATTTGTAAGACAACAGGCATCAGTGATTACTGTCATGGTCTTTGAAAGAACCATTAAAATCACAGAAAATTTAATTCTGAAAGGCTGTAGAGCCATTTGTTCCAGAACCAGATTTGCTCCAGAACCCCCCTGGATATCAAAATCCTTGAATGCTTAAGACCCTTAGACAAAGTGGTGTAGTATCTGCACATAACCTATCCACATCCTCCTGTACATTTTAGATCATCTCTAGATTCTTTATAAATATCTAATGCTAATAATTTTCATACTGTATTGTTTAGAATAATGGGAAGAAAAGTCTGTACACGTTCAATACAGATGTTTGCGTCTGTAAAATAGGATGCAAACATCCTATTTTTTTGCCCAAGGATATTTTCCATCTGTGGTTGAATCCACAGATGCAGAACTCATTCCAAGGGTGCACTATATTTTTTGATAATTTGTTGCCATGGGATTAGTTTCAGATGATGTGTCTCTAATCCTATAAGGTGTAAACATATGAGAGGTTTTCCAAAACAAGACAAAGATCACTGGCACGCCCCTCTCGTCCCCACACGCTCGCAGGTCTAATGTGACCCGTGGCTGGGCTGGATGCTTTTTACAAACCACCACTTGGAAAGTCTTTGATTCATTTACTTTATCAATTAGAAGGACTTAATGTTCCAGAAAGAAAAGCACATACATGTTTAGATGGGAAGTGGAGGACTATAAACATATATACCAAAATATGATTAACAGTAATTATCTCTAGATGGAATTATGGGTAATTAATTCTGAGATTCTTCTTTATGAACTCCTTAAAGGACTGATTTTTTTTGCAGTTGGCCTGCATTAATCCCATTACAAGAAATGAAAGTTAAGGGAGTCCTAATTTTTAAAAATGATTGGCCGGGCGCGGTGGCTCAAGCCTGTAATCCCAGCACTTTGGGAGGCCGAGGTGGGTGGATCATGAGGTCAGGAGTTCGAGACCAGCCTGACCAACATAGTGAAACCCCATCTCTACTAAAAAAGACAACAATTAGCCAGGCATAGTGGTACACGCTACTCCGGAGGCTAAGGTAGGAGAAGTGCTTGAACCCGGGAGGCGGAGGTTGGGCCGAGATTGTACCATTGCACTCCAGGCTGGGCGACAGAGCAAGACTCTGTCTCAAAAAAAGAAAATAAAAAAAAAAAGATTAACGGCCAGGCATGGTGGCTCACGCCTGTAATCTCAGCACTTTGGGAGGCTGAGGTGGGCAGCTCACTTGAGGTCAGGAGTTTGAGACCAGCATGGCCAACATGGCAAAACCCCATCTCTACTAAAAATACAAAACTTAGCCGGGCTTGGTGGGGGACGCCTGTAATCCCAGCTACTCAGGAGGCTGAGACAGGAGAATCGCTTGAACTTGGGAGTCAAA